TTTTTTGCTGCTTGGTGCATACTGTCAACCACACAATGTTAGGGATTCTCAGTTTGCAGTTACAGAAGTATATGGGTTCAAATTATTAATTTTCCAACTTGCAGTATTCTTTTTCTATTTCTCTCTTTCTTCCCTCCTTTCTTCCTTTCTATCTTCCTTCCTTCCTTCCTCCATTCCTTCCTTCCTTCCTTTTTTCTTTCTTTCTTCCTTCCTTCTTTTCTTCCTTCCTTCCTTTCTTCCTTCCTTTCTTTCTTTCTTTCTTTCTTTCTTTCTTAAAAACAAGCCGCGAATAAAAGAAATGAGGCTCGATTGGAAAATCGAGCCTCGATTAAAGAAACGAGGCTCGATTGGAAAATCGAGCCTCGATTACAAAATCGAGACTCGATTTCGTGATCGAGACTCGATTTCGTAATCGAACCTCGATTACAAAATCGAGCCTCGTGGTCGTTTTAGATCGAGAGTTTTTGGTCTGGTTTACCAGAAACCTTGAGTGATCCTATTCATCCAACAAGCGCATTGGTTCGTCTTCAAGCCTAAGTTTCTTCTCGCTGCGTGTGCTTACAGCCCAACGGGCACAGGTATCTTTTGTGACTGCATTTGCGAAGCCAACTGTCGACTTGATGTGTGGTATCAAGTGTCTAAAGACCCTCCTTTTAGCCTTCAATTTTATATCTTGGGTAGGTATAAATAATTTTGAGTTAGTATCCGTCTCCTTGAGTTTCGCTGTACAGCTGAAATTCGCCACAGCGTATTGACAACTGAGTAGGTTTAAAGGCCCATTTCCAACCTTGATGCAACGCACGCTGCGACCCAATTTTCTGTAACACGAAATTCCCAAATCACAGAAAACCTTCTAAAATCGTCTTTCTCAAGAGCCATCCTGGACATATAGTCAACTGTTTTACGGTAAATACATTCGCCGTTCGTCATTTTACAGTTTCCTAACAGTATTTTGAATTTTGTCCGGAAGAATCCGAAGAAAATTTTTTTTAAATGTCACGGTTGGATCTCTTTGAAATTTTACGCTGCCTGGAGGCGCTTGAGGATTGTAAATAAAGGTAGAACATTTTCGTATAAATATTTTTTGGATTTCGAAGAGAAATATGGAAAATATCGGACTGCCGGACGTGTAATTATTTTAAGTTTAGTCACTTCATTGCAGGAACGTCAGCGACACTGACAGTTTGCGTTACAGTTCTTATTTGCCGCTTTGCATGGACAACAACCTCGACCACTCTTTCGAGCGTAAGCTCCTCTCCACGGGCAGGAAACTTCAACTGACCCTTGGTCCTATTCAACAAGGATGGCAAACTTCAATTAAAAAAAATTGATGAATGGATGAAAACGTGGTGGATCAACATTTTCATCTTCTTCGAAATACTCGTAAGGATTTTCGTATTTCTCTTTAGCAACAACCGATCCATAAGCGTTTGCTGCCTAGGAAACTACAAAGTCAATGGATTATCTGATTCCATGCTGGATTAAACGTATAGAACTGTTTTAAACCGAATTCTTTTGACACACTCTTCAAATTCATCGGAGAAAACGCAGAGGGAGTTACCACGGGCGACGAGCGGGGGATGAAGAAATGACCGAAATACGAGTGGTCAGCGGGGAAACAAATTTAATAACTCGTATAGAGACATATCATTTGTAGTTGCAGAAAACAACAGTGTTGTAAAGCCGAAATGTTAACAGTGTACTTCGCTAAATAAAATGTGAAGCAATTTTTCAAAAGTGTTGATGGCACATATATCTTTTACTGCTGTATTAAACAATGGAGGTATCAGGAAAGGCAACGGTGGCATCCGGAAAGGCACCAAAAAGAACTTTGTTTACGTTTTGTAACTTACAAAAAACAATCGTATTGTATAGCCAAAATGTTACCAGGTTATACTTCGCTAATTCAAAATTTAAGCAATTTTCCAAACGCTTTGACTGGAACAATATTTTTACTGCTATATTAACCAACAGAGGCATCGGGAAAGGCATCGGTGACACCGGGAGAGGCATCAAGAAGAATGATATTTACGATATGTAGCTTGTTGTATGACGGAAAAAAAGTATCTTGACTTGTTTAAGGTGTAAATCACAGTTGGTTTGCTTTTCACTTGAATTCTGCAATCTCGACTTTCGATTTCGGAAAAATGAAAAGCTAAGCACTCTAAAAAATTTCGCTCTAGATTTCTATATTTTTAGAGTCATTAATAAGTTTGTTTCGACAGCCTTTAGATAAGAAATTTTAAATTTCCATCAGCTGTGGTTCTTTTAGTGTTTATTATATATATTCAATCGCCTCGTTTCACGTGAAAAAGGCATGTAGGAAAACACTGAGCTTCGAGAAACAGCCAAGTTAAGGCTAATGTGTTTACTATGCTTAAATATTTATAATCAGGGCCACTCGTTTAGGAGATCTTTTTTCAGGAGATCCAGGCGTTAAAATAATTCTGTTTCCCGTTCGAAGTGTTTTTTTTCTATTTTATTTAACAAATAAACTCGGGATGAAAACTTAATTTTCGAAGCGAACGGCAGGTGAAATGTTGTGTTGGTGTCTCTGTCCCCCCCACGTCTCTGCGAAAGGTACATCCAGACAACCTGCATAGAAAAACTGACCACAGCTATCGCACCAAATTTAAAAAAAAATCTTTAAAACTAAACTGGAGAGCAGCACTCTACGAACGGTAGTTGTAAAATTTCTTTATTCTCCGACGCGTTTCGTTTAACTGTCGTAGACTTCTTCGGGGAGTTTTACAATTTAACACTAAACACCTGTATTTATAAGCCATAGTTAGGGGCTATACGGGAGTTAATGACCATAAAGGCTTGGCCGGACCTACGGATAGGAAAAGGTGAAGTTGCGGAAAATTTGAAAATTGTTTGGGGCAAGGTGGGAGAATTCATCTGGGGACAACGGTTTTGGTTTTCTTTTTTCGTCACGCAGCAAGTTACAAAACGTAAATATAACCCTTCTTGGTGCCTTTCCGTATGCCACCGATGCCTTTTCCGATGCCTCTATTGTTTATTACAGCAGTAAAAGATATATGTGCCATCAACACTTTTACGTCAGAAGGTATTTTGAGACAACGTGACAAGGTAAAAATAACTGACCAATTAGAGGCGCTATTTAAACAAAAGCGGTGGTTCAAAACAAAAACAAACGACCTCATTGCATCAAGGTTGGAAATGGCCTTTAATGTTGGACAGGCGGAGGTCGATCTGATGTTTTCAGGAGCACAGGCAAACGACAAAGTCGAGAAATCATCTTTAAGATTCTTTTTGTTTCAAGTTATTGAAATGGCGAATAAGCTCGAATAACAGACGAGCTATAACAATATTCTCGTGCTGCGGCCAGTGATATTGTCCTACACATCGCACTCTGGTGACCGCAAAATGGGTTAGTATTCACTTACTGTCGTCTGCGCAGCGGTATATAAAAAAAGAATGAATTTCAACGATATTTGTGCCATAATTTTGCCCATAACCTGGATATCGAATGGGAGAGAACTTTGCGAACTCTACGGAGTATTCTAATCCTTTTGCTTCGCTAATAGGATTTGTTGTTACGATGTTAATGAAAATTGGCAGTAATTATCGGGAGTCTGTCATTCAATTCAAAATCAGGCGCACAAAAGAACGCGCGCTATTTACGATATCATATCAATATCATCTATCACGTTTTCCATTCGTGACCTTTCGCCAATTGACGGCGATGCTAAGAAGTTGTTAATAGACTATTCACAGGCCTCCATTTTTGATTGAATCACATGCGTCAGTAGACTTCGAATTAGAAAGTTCCACCAAAAGATGAATGTTAGAAACGCTCTCCATGCTGGAATCAAATTCTTTTTTGCAATGTTTCCCTGGATGAACCGAAAATTCTGCATACGTTGAAATCAATTCAGGGCCTGAGGGAGAGTGATATGTCGTGAGTAAAGAGTCACGCAAGGAAACATGCACTCCGATCGCGCTTCTTCGTTGCGTGTTTCTACTTGTCAATTAACTTTGTGGATACAACTTTTTAACCGACAAATTTTACACCACAGTACCCTGTAAATGATATTTTTTCTCTTTCCAAAGGGGTGTGCGCGGGAGTATTAAAACTCCGTCTGTAACGCCCTTGATAAAATCTTTGATCATATTTTCATTCTTCGTTTTCGCAGTTTGCCGGCGCGGCGGTCTTAGGAATAGGAATATGGAACGAGATTGACCCAGGACAGCTTAACGCCTTTCTTGGGAATATTGGTTTCCAGCTTCCCTCCATAATCTTAATGGCGAGTGGTGGATTTGTGATGTTCGTCGGTTTCCTTGGATGCTGCGGGACCATAAAGGAAAGTCGACGTCTCCTGGGTTTGGTATGTTGTTGTTGGTTGTTGGTTGGTACTGAAGCTTAAACTTAGCTGACTTTCATCTTGAGTGCGGCCAGTGCGCTAGACTCCGCAAAAAGAGGTCAGGAAGCGAGCCCCGGCCTGGTCATATATGGTGTTTTCGTGGACAAGACACCCTTAAATTATTTATAGCTTCTCTTGGTAAAGAGTGTAAATGGGTACTAACAACCTTTTAGGGAAAGAATAGCCGCGTTGAAAGGCATACCTATGGAGTTTCGTAATAAAAAAGTCAATCAGAGGAGAGGGGCATATTAGATAGTTCATGAGAACTCTAAGTCAAAACAAGCAGACAGCTTGGAGCGCATAAAAATGCAAGCAACCAAGCCGCAACAGGTTTTAGTCAAGAATCAGATTGGTTGAGAAAATGACGCGAGTTTTCTGGATTAATATCTCAACGAAGTAAAGCAAAATCAAAGAAATCCCGTATTGCTTTTGACGCTCAACTGAAAATTGCTCCAGTTACCTCCGATCAATTAGCATCCAGGGGAGGAGCAGATCCAGTGCCCCATGTTGATTTATGTCATAGAAAACGGGATGAGCTGAGGTAGTGATGAGCTGTTGGGTTTGTTGTGCGTAGTTAACCTGTAGCCTTTTATAAATTTCTCTGTTTTTTCAGTTCTTTGGCTGCTTATTTTTGATATTTGCTGCTGAGGCTGTGGCGGGAATTCTTAGTTTCATTTATCGCGACAGGGTAGGTCTGACTTTCTATAGCTTTTCTTTAGTAATTTCACACATTTCCGACTTCTTAAGCTTTGGGTATTTGAGTTCATATTATTAAAGACGTATAAAGTTTTATTTGTTAAGAAACTAATGAGAGCAAACGTTGTATTAAACCGAATCCAGTCGGTTATCTTTTGAAATGAAAATTTAAACTTCGGAAAATACCAGGCACGAGCGTCGGAACAGCGAACGTGGAAAGTCAAGTGAGAGATCTTAATTAGGATCAACCACAACTGCTCACTCCTCCCCGTTTATGTTTGCTCTCGAATGAGCTTCTTTAACTTGTGTTTCCTCAACCACTGCGCAAGTATTGTAGTTTCCCAATCCCCCTCGAACGTTGTGAAAATGAATTTTACGAGGTGCCTGCAGAGAGAGAAAGGTCTCAGAAATTCGATTCGGTAACCGATGCGTTTGACATATCAACTTCCATTCTAGAGCAAAGGGAGAAAATGTTTCTTAAACTTATGATCAAACAACTTCTTCGTTTTTCTTTCAAAAGGTTGAAACTGCGGTGGAAAATATGCTTAAAGAAGAAATTAAGACAAATTATGGTGTGACAAGCGATTCACCCACTAATCAAAACGTGGATAGTTTACAAATTCGTGTAAGCAGATCATTTTTTGATTTTTTTAGACATAAAACACAATTTCCCACTAATGTAAGGTAAGAAGCTTTATGTTTAGAAGTGACTGTAACATTTGTACCATCCAAGAAGGGTGGGGACGAGTTTCAAGCACTCTCATTATTCCCTTGTCTGCTAAACCTCCTCCTTGACAAATAGAGGCTTACAAATAAGCCCAGCCTCTATCTCCCTCTTTACAAAGAGGGGCTTACAAACAAGCCCAGCCTCCCCCTCCCTTTTTACAAAGAAGGGCTTCCAGACAAGCCCAGCCTCCCCCTCTCTCTTTACAAAAAGGGTATTACAAACAAGCCCAGCCTCTCCCTCCCTATTTAAAAGATGAGCTTACAAACAAGCCCAGCCTCTCCCTCCCTATTTAAAAGATGAGCTTACAAACAAGCTTAGCCTCCCCCTCTCTTTCAGCTAACCCTTTGCACAGAATCGTTCGGTCAGAGTTAAATACATCAAACTGATTGTTTTCCTCAGAAAGGTACATAGGTTTTCCTTGAGAAAGTAAAACAATACTCATTATACTATTCTTCGCTGTCTATTCTCTGAAGCTCGAATGCTGTGGCGCAAGTAATTACATGGACTGGGACCAGAGTAAATGGAAAGAAGTCAATAAGGACAATAAAGTACCGCTGAGTTGCTGTAAGAAGGACGAAAACACAAGAACTTGCAATAAGGTTTCGAATTTTGATAAAAACAAAATTCATACGAAGGTAATGTTTCTAATATTTGCGGTTCCTTAAACGAGAAGTAAGCTCCAGAAACCATAAAACTTTTATCTTCGCCTTTAAAAAGGATTTAGGGACCAATAATTATCACCGCTAGAAGGGTTGGGAGGACTTAGGTCGTGTCACAGTAAAATTTACCTTTTCCTCCTGCAAGGCCTGGTAGTCTTCTAACAATTCCCCATTATCAGCAGTCAGTGTCCTAGATTGCCCCGTCTATACTCCGGTAGTGCCGACTGATCCTTCCTCCGCCTCCCCCCTGCAAACCATGCGTCCTTCCCCCCCACCAGGTGATAAAGAATGATTGGTCCATCGACAGCGTTTTGACATTCTGAAGAGTATCCTCCAATTTGCCGCAATTTTCAATATTCTTCGGTAACTTTCACCCTTTTTTTTACATCTGCTTGGCGATCCGTCTGAACAACTAAGAGTCGCAAAACAAGGCATTTGTGACTCAAATAATGATGTTTTCTTCGAGAACCAAAGAAGCACGGCTTATTGTGAACCGCTTGATGATGCGATTCCATCGTTACCTAGGTGTGCGGCCTGGTTACTAAGTTGTTTTCAATATGGCGGCGTTAGTGGACGGGCAGTTTTTTGAACGGTTAGTTTACCCCTGAAAATCAAGTACCGCAGTGAGAAGTAAACTCACGTATATATAGTTTTCATTATGGATATAAAGATTATATGGTTTCTGCACCATAAATCTCCCTTAAGCCTGTGTCACTCTCTCTCTCTCATCGTAATCAATGACCCTCTTAGAAATCCGGCACTAATCAACTCTTATCAACTTGTACGGCCATACGGTGTGAACTCATACTTTAAAAGTGCGGCTTCACGGCAACACCCGCTCTTGTGCCTGGTCTGAAACCCAGACAACCCTCGACCAAGTATCACACAAGTAATGCGCCGATCGATTCAAATTAATCTATGCATAACTAAGTGACTCCTGCGCGCAATCGCCCGCTCTCTTACACTCTTGTCTTCAAATTCTTCCAGGGTTGTCTTCAGTCGCTAACAGATTTTGTCGATAAATATCTGT